CAGCACAGGACATGATCTTGGAGACCCGGGATTGAGTCCCACATCAGGCTCCCTGCATGGAGCCTGCTTCTGCCTCTCTCTCTCTCTCTCTCTCTCTCTCTCTCTCTCTCTCTCTCTCTGTCTTTCATGAATAAATAAATAAAATATTTTTTTTAAAAAATAAAGTACAATGGAAAGCCACTGAAGAGTTTTTAGTGGGAGAGTGGTATGTTTTGATTTACATTTTTAAAAGATCACTGGCCTGTTGCAGGGTAATTATACATAAAAACCACGAATCCCATCAGTGATACAAAACTGAAAGCTATCACTGAATTCTGCCATTTAGGCATCACTCAGTCTAATGATACGCTGATACATGAGAGAGAGGGTGAAAAGCCAACTTATAGCTCCAGTATATCCTCCAGAAAGTTAGTTGAGTAGCACCAATTTTACAGATAGTTGGGGAGGTCATGGAAGCCTTTAAAGAGAGATCTTTAAACTAAAGAATGCAGAATCCGGGGATCCCTGGGTGGCGCAGCGGTTTGGCGCCTGCCTTTGGCCCAGGGCGCGATCCTGGAGACCCGGGATTGAATCCCACGTCGGGCTCCCGGTGCATGAGCCTGCTTCTCCCTCTGCCTGTGTCTCTGCCTCTCTCTCTCTCTCTCTCTCTCTCTCTCTCTCTCTCTATCATAAATAAAAAAATTAAAATAAAAAAGTAAAAAAAAAAAGAATGCAGAATCCACTGCAGCTGGATACTTAAAACATGAAGAGGAAAAAAAAAGAGGAAAAAAAATAAAACATGAAGAGGAAAAAAGTGTAGTCTGCAGAATGGCCTAGAATAGGCTACAGGAAGATTCTTTGGTCTACTGGCTTATTTCAACATTAAGGTATTAAGTAGCTTTTAGCTCACTTCTAGTGGTCAATAATCTGTACTGGAAACCCCACTTAAACTCCTAAGCTAAGGGTTAGGAGCTGGAGGAGAAAAGAGCTAAAGCAGGAAGCTATCCACAAAGCTTGGGCTGGACAGAACAACTTCGCCAACTAGGGAAAAATTTTGCGAGGGCAGAGTCATGGTGGCTGTTTTAACCCTAACCTCTCCCCACAAAGAGGTAGGAGTATTGGATAAGAAAGGCAGACCCAGGGCTTATATCTTAGAAACTGTACATATAGACAGTTGAACGAAGAGATAGAGATAAGGGAGATTTAGAAGACAATAAGCAGGAAGGCTGGGTGAATCCTGCAAATTCCCAGGAATCTAAGGTAATAGATGGCCAGATGTACAAGTGATGCTAATAGACAAAGATCTTGCATGAGAAAGAAAACAAAAAGTACAAGGCATTGGGACTGCCTAGACAGAAGAAGTGGGCTGTTAATATTATTTGTTCTCCAAGCATATTTAGAATCCAGGTGTTAGGGGCACCTGGGTGGCTCAGTGGATAAGCATCTGCCTTTGACTCAGGTTGTGATCCTGGGGTCCTGGGATCAAGTCCCACATCAGGCTCTCTGAGGGGAGCCTGCTTCTCCCTCTGCCTATGCCTCTGCCTCTCTCTGTATCTCTCATGAATAAATAAATAAAATCTTAAAAAAAAAAAGAATCAAGGTGTTACAGGCAATGGGATCAAAGCCTAGCAGTCAAAGTGAGAGCAGAGTTTAAAATTATTTCCCCTACTAGGTCCACAAAAATTAAGGTAGCATCCAGGCCTTGGATACAATCAAAATGTCAGGTGGGAGAATTAAAGTTATTTCTTAAAAAATCAAGGGAATTTGGCCTTATGTAGATTAAATTCAAAATATGAGGACCTTATCAAATAACCTGGCATCTATATGGGGGCCCCAAAGAAGGAAAGGGCCTGAAATTGTAAAAGATCCCTCTTCCTGGGGAGAGGATACACTGGTCCCTTAGTGAAAAGGACCCCCAAGAAGAGAGCAGAAAGAGAATTGAATGAAGGAGCTACATGCTGTGAGTAAAATGGCCTACCCAGTGAGAGGAACCTAATAGAAGTGTGTGGGAAGGGCTGATTAATTAACTGACTTGTATGGAGGGATATAATTATAAATCCCCCACAATTCTATTACAGTGACTCCAGTAGGGGCAGCCATTTACTTCATAGCCCTTGAGTACCTGAATCAACAGTGCGTGCAGGGCTCCTTCCCCCTCCATGAGACTATAATCCAAAATTGACTAGAGAAGATTACAGATTGTAAATGAGTAGTACATAGAATTGTACTAAGCCAGGCACATGTGGGATGAAGAATGGAGGAAGAAAACAGTGACCTAGAGGTGGGGAGGCCATCTTTGAAGCTGTTGATTGGCTACTTGGGTGCCAAGGGCGTATTAAGAAATATTCATATCAATTGCAACCCACCCCTACTTTTCAACATATTACAGAGCTCCTGAAGTTCAGGAAATCTGACACCTGGTAAATTGGTGGGAAGGCAGAATGGCAATTGCATTATATGCTGTCCAGAAACTACAGGTTAGATGCAGGACATCTGGGGAAGGAGGAATTGTCATGGTTCCTATAAAGGGACATATCACAAAGGAGTCCATTTTTATCATATTGTTTGACCTGATGTGTTTGAAATATATCAAACTGTCCAACTCTATGACACTTGAAAGGTTTTGGCCTGACAGTGCCTGATCCCTTCAATATAGGTGGCATTTCATTTAGAAGAATATATGACCATTGCCAGAGGAGATATAAAGCTGTGAGAGAGATCCCAGCAGTAGTTAGCCAAAGCTCTCTTGGTCTTTTTCTCAACCTTGGGATGATCTGTCAAGTCTAATTGTATTGTGTTTTCACAGAACCTTTAGTTGTTCTTCCAAAGTGTTCACGGAGGCAATGGGCTGTAGGGGAAGAATAGTGAATTACTTTCAGACCATCTGAATTCTATCAAGTGACACAGCAAGGGATATGAGTAGCTTGACCTCTCCAAGCCTCATTTTGCCCTTCTATAAAGAGAAGTAACAATTCATCTACCTCACAAAGTTGTTTTGAAAGTCAGCAGAGAAAAAATAGATGTGCCTTGTAAACTGAAGTTCACTTATAAATGTGAGGGATTATCGTTTATCACTGCCATAGATCAAGGTCAACAATCTTTTCTTCCTTTTTTGGTAAAGAGCCATATAGTAAATATTTTCAGTTTTATGGCCACAAAAGTTTCTGTCATGTATTCTTTGTTATTGTTGCTTTTAAAAGGCCTTTAAAATTTTAAAACTATTCTGAGCTCATGGGCCTTATGAAACAGGCCAATGGCCAGCTTTGGCCTGTGTCCTATAGAAGGCCAATGTCTGTTCCAGATTATTGATATGCCTTGGGACTGATGATCATCCTCTCAGTATGTTGTAAGATTCCCCAGAAGATCTGCTATCTTGACTATAAAACTGTAAGGATTAACTGAATATTTCCATTTTTTTTATTGAGATAAGATTCACTCAACATAAAATCCTCCATTTTAAACATATTGAAGTATACAATTCAGTGGCTTTGAATACACTCACAATGATGCACAACCATCACCACTATCTAATTCTAGCTTTATATCTCCTCTGGCAATGGTCATATATTCTTCTAAATGAAATGCCACCCATATTGAAGGGATCAGGCACTGTCAGGCCAAAACCTTTCAAGTGTCATAGAGTTGGACAGTTTGATATATTTCAAACACATCAGGTCAAACAATATGATAAAAATGGACTCCTTTGTGATGCTAGCATTAAGCAGTCACTTCCCTTTCCCCCCTCCCTCCAACCCCTGGCAACCACCAATCTGCTTTCAAGGTCTATGGATTTATCTATTCTGGACATTTCATATAAATGGAATCATAATATTTGACTTTTTATGTTTGGCTTCTTTCATTTAGGTTTCAGGGTCCATCAATGTTGTAGCATGCATATATCACTACTTAATTTCTTTTAATGGCTAAATAATATTCCATTGTATGGACATTTTGTCTATCCATTCATCAACTCATGAATACTGGGGTTGTTTTCATTTTTGGTTAATAAAATCATGCTACTATGAACATTGTGTACAAGTTCTTGTGTAGATATATGTTTTAATTTCCCTTGGGTATATACTTAACAGTGGAATGGTTGGATTATATAGTAATTCTATGCTTAACTTTTTGAGGAACTCCCCAACTGTTTTCTATAGTGGCTGCACCATCTTATACTTCCACCAGCAGTGTATGAGGGTTACAATTTCTCCACATCTTCACCAACACTTGTTATTTTCTTGCTGTTTTAATAAATTATAGCCATGCTAATGAGTGTGAAATGGTCTTTCATTATGGCTTTGATTTGCATTTCTGTAATGACTAATGATGTCATGTGTTTATTGGCCATTAATATATCTTCTTTGGAGAAATGTTTACTCAAATCCTTTGCCCATTTTTTTCTGGTGAATCTTTTAATTCATATATGGATAGGTTTATCATTTTTACCAGTTAACATTCTCATTGATATAGGTCAATTTACATTAACCATTATTATATGACATGAAAGAAGCACATGGGAAAATCAAGTAGAACACAAGACTTAAACTTTAAGTCAATAGTTTGCTGTTAAGAAAGGGACACAGAACATAAAGACTCCTAACTCTGGGAAACGAACTAGGGGTGGTGGAAGGGGAGGAGGGCGGGGGGTGGGGGTGAATGGGTGATGGGCACTGAGGGGGACACTTGACGGGATGAGCACTGGGTGTTATTCTGTATGTTGGTAAATTGAACACCAATAAAAATTAATTTATTAAAAAAAGTTTGCTGTTAAGGAAACATACAAATAAATACACTTAAGCAGAAATAAAATACTGTACTCAGGATAACAGCATTGCAGAAAAAAATCTAAAGCTGAAGATAAGGATCTTAATTTTACAGTATGTATAATTACATAATTTATTAAAATTAATACAATTAATATACAAAATAGTGACACAGTAGTCATTAAATTTGATAAGCACTTTACAGAAATGTTAAGATGGCAAAACTATACTAAGCAATATCTCATATCTCTATCAATGTCTAGCTCACTAGTTCAGGCTGAACATTGACTCTCTGAAGCACTTCTTCAGGTATGCAAAAAACAGGACTAACAGGTTTAATCTGTTCTTCTCCCAAAAGTGACAATCCAGCAATTCCAAATAAAGTATGAAAAGGATCTACCATGTCTCCTGGTCGGTCTGCTAATCCTCCTGTTTCTTCATCTTGACATGCTAAAATGAAACTTCGCAGTTTCTATCAATCCAATGAAGCCTTCCAATTATCTTTAGGGAAGCCAACACCCACCACGAATAGCAGACATCTGGTAACTTCTCGGACCTTCCATTGAGTCCACCTGATGGTAACTGTCGTTCACAAAGCCACCAACCGAGTAAATCAGAATTTACTTGATGCAACTGGCTAGTAATAGCCAGAAATCCTGTGCAACAATAGATCTGCCCAGCATGGGATTCAGAACCTGGCCTGCAACCAAATCCACCATCAAAGTTCATACACGATAAAACAAATTCAATTGCCTTTTCCACATTAATAGCGTCTAGCTTCCCCAACAGAGCCAAGGTTGCCACCGCACAAAAAGAGAATCTTGTATCTATTTCTCCCCATATATCTCCAGCAAAAGAACCATCTTCTTTCTGTAGACTCTGAACATATTCCACAACTTTATTTACATCAATAACAATACTATCATACAGAGTAAGAATCTGGGCAGCACGTAGAGTGTACAAAAGATGGGGGTCATGTCTAATACTAGCACTTATTCCACCACACTCATGTTGACATGACTTAATGAAGGTCAGAATTTCTTCTCTATTCATCCGATGTAGTTGTCCCATCAGATCCATTACAGTCAGACCCCAATAGATCCCACTCATTCTCAAATATTCAGACATACAGTATTCATAATCATCTTTCTTGGAGCTATAGGATGCGATATAGTCTGCATGCTTCTCTAACAGCAGCGTGTCAGGTGCATCTGACTTGATGATAACATCCTTCTGCGGTGTGCCCATGACTGAAACCGGAAAGAGCCTTTGCCCATTTTTTAATTGAGATGTTGGTCTTTCTGGAGTTGAGTTATAAATATTCTTTTAAATATTCTGGGTACTAGACCCTTTACAGATATGATTTGCAAACTTTTTTTGCATACTGTGATTTAGTTTTAACTTTCTTGATAATGTCTTTTGATGCTCACAATCTTTAATTTGATGAAGTCCCATTTATCTGGGTTTTTTTTTTCTTTTATTGCTTTGCTTTTGATGTGATGTCAAAGAATCCATTGCCAAATCCAAGGTCACAAGAATTTACACACGTTTTTTTCTAATAGTTTTGCAGTTTGTAGTTCTACATTTAGGTCTTTGATCCATTTTGAGGGGTTTGTGGTGTGATGGTTAATTTAATTTTAATTTTTTAAAAGATTTTATTTATTTATTTATTTATTTATTTATTTATTTATTTATTTGAGACACACAGAGAGAGAGGGGGGCAGAGACACAGAGGAGAAGCAGGCTGCATGCAGGAAGCCTGATGTGGGACTCGATCCTGAGACTCCAGGATCACGCCCTGGGCCGAAGGCAGGTGCCAAACCTCTGAGCCATCCAGGGATCCCCTGGTTAATTTTATGTGTCAGCTTGGCTGAGGCTATGGGAAACCCAGATATTTGGTCATTGTTCTGGGTGTTTTTGTGAAGGTGTATTTATATAAGTTTAATATTTGAATTGGTAGGCTGAGTAAAGCAGAATGCCGTCCCTCATGTGGATGGGTGTGAATAGAACAAAAAGGCTAACCCCTACCCTAAGTGAGAATTCTTCCTGCCTTCAAATTGTGATATTGGCTTTTTCTTGCTTTGGGCATCAAACTGAAACACCTGATGACTTCAACCAGCTTAGCTAGAGCTCCTTTGTCTTCCAAGTTAACCTGTATGAAAGTGACAGTGGTGCAGGTCCTCCTGCGGACCAGATGGCCCCAGCCTGGCCTTACCCATGATAATTCAGTGGGGAACCCCCATCTTACGACACAGGACAGGCAGAAGACAACCAGCTCAATGCAATCCACATCATGTGCAATCACTACCAGCTGAGACTTCTTGTTTTCCACCAAAGTGGTGACAGTGTTAACCCCAGCTCGAAGGACAGGTGGCCTTAGTAGGGACATCCTCTTTTGCCCATAGCTTTTTTTCTGACCCCAGGTCAACAATCTCTGCTTCCTCTCTTGCTTTGTCTCTGGTCTGTACTTGTGGGCCAGCTTAAGTAGTTGAGTAGCTGTTTGGTGGTCCAAGGCCTGGGTGAACTGGTTAATTGCAGGAGGTACTTTTAGATGTTTATAGAGAATAGCCCTTTGCTGCTACAGCCGGATGTAGTGGGGGCATTTGACAAAGTGGGTGAGGTCCCTTTTGGGCTGGATGTCCTGTCCAATGCCAAAATTCTTGGGCCTTTTCTCAAACAGGGAATTGACTACCTTCTTGGCCTCCTGCTTCTTCTCAACAGCAGGGCAGGAGCCATCTTCTTCCCCTTTGCCTTCTTTCCTTTCTGCATCTTGGGTTGCTGGAGGAGAGAGTATCTTCAATCTTTTTCAACAATATTTTGTTAGTTTTAAGCTTACAAATATTGCACCTCCTTGGTTAGATTTATTCCTAAGTATTTTATTCTTTTAATGCTTTTATAAATGAAATTGTTTTCTTAATTTGCTGTTCAGAATGTTTATTTCTAGTATATAGACATACAACTGATTTTGTATGTTGTTCTTGTATCCTGCAACTTTGCTGAATTAATTTATTACTTCTAATAGTTTCTTTGTATGAGGGTTCTTTAAGATTTCTATATGTAAGAACATGTGATTTTCAAACAGAGACAGTTTTAACTATTCCTTTCTAATTTTGATGACTTTTATTTCTTCTTCTTGTCTAATTGCCCGGGTTAGAAACTTCAGTATAATATGGAATAGGACTGGTGAGAGAACACATTCTTGTGTGGTTCTTGATCTGTGAAAGACTAAAAGCTTTCACAATTAAATATGAGGTTACCTTTGGATTTTTACTAGATACTCTTTATCAGGTTGAGGAAGTTTCTATCTATTCTCTTGTTGAATTTTTTTAATCATGAAAAAATATTGGATTTATCAAACACTTGTTCTGCATTGAGATGATAATGTGCTTTTCCAACTCAATATCTTATTTTTATTTATTTTTTAAGTAGGCTCTACGCCCAACGTGGGCCTTGAACTCATGACCCCAAGATCAAGAGTCTCATGCTTTACCGGCTGAGCCAGCCAGGTGCCCCTATCCCCCATTATTTTAATCTAGTATTTTATATTGATTAATTTTCATATGTTGAACCGTGCTTGCATTCCTGGAATCAATCCCACTTGTTTATGTTGTATAATCCTTTTAATATGTTGCCAGTTTTGTTCTGCTGGCATTTTGTTAAGAATTTTTGAATTTATATTTGTAAGGGATATTTGAATTAGTTTCCTTTTTTTATGATGTCTTTGTCTAGCTTTGGTATGAGTAATGCCAGGCTTAGGATAAGGAGATGTTCTCCCCTCTTCTATTTTTTGGAAGATTTTGATGAGGATTTCTCTTAATTTTTTAAACACTTGATTGAATTTGCCAGTGAAACCATCTGGTCCTGGGCTTTTCTATTATAATTATTTCTATTTCTATACGGTGAGTAGCAATGTCCCCATTTTCTCACTTGATTTTAGTAGTGTGAATCTACCCTATTTCTTGATCTGTTTGTCAATCTTGTTGATTTTTTTCAAAGAACTAACTTCTGGATTTTTTTGTTATTTTGTTGTTCTTAATTGTTTTTCTTTTCTCTATTTCATTTACATTTACCCTAATCTTTTTATTTCTTTACTCCTATTTGTTTTACTTTGCTTTTCTTTTTATAATTCCTTATAGTGAAAGGTTATTGACAAGATCTTTCTTTTTTTAATGTAGGCATTTATAGCTATAAATTTCCCTCTGAGAACTGAGATGGGTCCATCACATAAATTTCAATGTTGTGTTTTCATTTTCATTCATCTTAAAGTATTCTTCTTTTTCTCTTGTGATTTCTTCTGTGATCTATTGGTTGTTTCAGAGTCTTTTGTTTAATTTCTGTGTATTTGTGAATTTTCTAGATTTCTTTCTGGTATTGATTTCTTTTTTTTTTCTGGTATTGATTTCTAACTTCACTCTGTTGTGGTATAAAGCATACTTTGTACGATTTAAGCATTTTAAATTTGCTGAAACTTGTTTTATGGCCTGATATATATGATCTACCTTGGAGAATGTTCCATGTACAATTGAGAAGAATGCATATTCCTCTGTTGTAGGGTGAATAGTTCTACATGTCTTTTAGGTCTGGGTTGTTGAGAGTATTTGTTAAGTCTTCTATTTCCTTCTTTATATTTTGTCTAGTTATTCTGTTATTGAAAGTGAGGTGTTGAAGGGGCACCTGGGTGGCTCAGTCGGTTAATCTACTGACTCTTGATTTTGGCTCAGGTCATGATATTAGGGTCGTGGAATTGAGCCCCATGTCAGGCTCCATGCTCAGCACAGAGTCTGCTTGTCCCTCTCCCACTCCTCATTTGTATGTGCATGCATGCTCTCTCTCTCAAATAAATAAATAAATAAATAAATAAATAAATAAATAAATATTTTTAAAAAGTGAGATTTTGAAGTCTCTAACCAATATTGTTGAACTATTTCTCCTTTTCATTCTGTCAGGTTTTGTATCATATATATTGAGACTCTATTAGCCATATATGTTTGTGTTATATCTTCTTGATTGATTGGCCCTTTTATCATTATATAATGTCCCTCTTTATGTTTTGTAACAATTTTTGTCTATTTTGTCTGATATTAGTATAACCACACCAGCTCTGCTTTGGTTACTGTTTGCATGAAATACCTTTTTCCATCCTTTTACTTTCAACCTATTTGTGTTTGGTTCTAAAGTGAATCTCTTGTCTCCAGTGTATAGCTGCATCACAGTATTTATCCATTTCTTCAATCTTTGCCTTTTAATTGGAGAGTATCATCCATTAATCTTTTTTAAAGATTTTTATTATTTATTCATGAGAGGCACACAGAGAGAGGCAGAGACATAAGCAGAGGGAGAAGCAGGCTCCCTACAGGGAGCCTGGGGATGGGGGACTCGATCCCAGGATGCCAGGATCACGACCTGAGCCAAAGGCAGATGCCCAACCACTAAGCCACCCAGGTGCCCTAATCCATTAATCTTAATGTAATTACTGATAAGGAAAAAACTTACCTATGCCATTTTAGTATTTGTTTTTCATATATCTTACATCATTTTAACTCATAAATTCCTATATTACTGCCTTCTCTACATTAGATATTTTTTAGCCTACTAAGTTGATTACATTCTTATTTCTTTTACTATATAATTTTAGTAATTTTTCCTAGGGATTACAATTAACATCTTACCTCATAACAATCTACTTCAAATTAATACCAACTTAAGTTCAATATTTCACAAAAACTTTTCTCCTGTATAGCTCTGTCCTCCCTTTATATTGTTTTGATCACAAGTTAACATCTTTATATACTTTATGCTCATTGACATAGATTTGCAATTATTGCTTTATGTAGTAGTCTTTTAAATTTTATAGGAAAAAAATTTTATGGCTAGTGGAGTTATTAGCCAAAAATACAGTAATACTGAGTTTTATATTTATTTATTTATCTTCGCCATTGCTATTTATTTCTTTATATGAGTCTGAATTATTGTTTAGTATCATCCCATTTCAGCCTGAAAGATTCCCTTTGATATTTCTTATAGGACAGGTCTACTAGCAACAAACTCTCCAGGATTTTGTTTACCTGGGGATGTCTTAATTTCTCCTTCATTTTTGAAGGATAATTTTGCCAAATATGGAATTCTTGGTTGACAGTCCCTTACCTTCAACACTTAGAATATGTCATCTCACTGTCTTCTGGTCTGCATGGTTTCTGGTGAGAAATCATCTGTTTATTGTATTGAAGATCCATTGTATGTGAGTTGTT